TTGGTGTGTCACTTTGCCATTCACAATAGCGAGCTCAAACAGTGCCGGTGTTCAGTACCCCTGCTAACTTCTTTTACTTCAGCAATCACAGTTGTATTTCAATACCCGCCAGATTCGACGCAAACATCCACCAGCGAGACGGCAAGCGAGTCAAGCACGACCTGTGTGGTGGATTATGGTTCAGACCGAATGGAAGCACAGCTCGACTTCGCTGAGGCACTGCTAGCCGTGGACAGATTGCATAGTTTTGCTATCCTACATTGTTCAGATCTATTGCCCATTGTGTCTAAAATACACTATAAGTTATTTCGTTTCTCTCAAGAAAACTTTTCGTATCCTAGATTAATTAATGTACCACATACTGCACATAAGAACAATTGTTAACAAACAACATATACGTTTTCTTATTCTTACCTTGAGGAAATAGAGGGAGATTTCCAAACCCAGAAGCAATGATTCACTCATTGATGATAATCACAGTTTGGATCTTGGAATTCGAGGCATACCAAGCCTCTCTTGGGAACATCAGATGAAAACTGATAATTGCGATGCGCTTGAACTGCCTCTGTCAACTGTGCTAAATCATTATGAAAAAGAAAAACATGAAAAGGTTGGGAGCGTTTCCAGTACGTGAAAACGTACTCGCCGCAAATACTCTACTATTCTAAATGCTGTCGGTCACCAATTCTCCGCTTTCAACAATTTGCTATTTCTTGAGATGCCACTGAATAACACATTGACAATTCACTGGCTTTGTCTCCTTATCCTCACATCGCTAATTTACAAAGTCACGCTCAATAAACAGCTTAGACATCAATATTCTTGTTCACGCAGCCTGGTCTTGTCAATCGTCCATGATCATCTTAGAAACTTTATGCAAACTCACAAGGTTAAACCCACAAGATAAACAGTGTTTTAAAGAAAAAACTGTTGCCCGTGTGCTTTAAGTAAGGAAGGGAATTATGTCATCGATCAACTTATTATCTGTTCTCCTGAGAAATAATATTGTGAATATATGCGTTGCTTCGATTAAACGATTCTCAATTGACGCGTCTCCATCATTGCAATGATTTTCCGGTTCTTAGTTGTTTCCCTGAACGGTATGAGAAAATGTACAATGTGTTGGTGGAGTAAACATGTCACGGCTTCTGAAACAATTATAATGAATTATTATACAGAAGTAAAGCTGATCAATCCAACGGATGAGGCACTGCATTTTATTGTTAAAGCTAACTTTCAGTTACTAACTTTGTAACCTCTCGATGTGATGGGATTTCATGCTTATACGTTGAAGGTATTAGCTTACACAACAATTGCTGTATGGTTGACAATATTGCCAAACTCGAACCCGAAAACACTCGAGTTTTTGATAAATACTGAAAATAATGCAGCTGGTCGTTCTGTTTTATACGTGTTTGCTCAAATAGTGAAAGCTATATCCGACCAGATCTGCCTAGCGAGCTTCAAGTAGATGTGGAGAGGAATTTCCTATGAGCACCAAACCAAATGCTACGCTTTCCACTCATTAAGTTTAGCTTTTGCCAATGATGATTCAGTTCCGGGAAGGTCTTACATGTCTCGAACACGTGAGCTATTTTTTGTTTCCCTTATGCCTGTACAGATCACCCTATATATGTCACTCCATCGATAGAAGCTTTTCCAACTACTATAGTACAACACAGCCCCGTCAGAAGGGAGCAGGTAAGTTACCTCCGTAATGGTTTGTTGTATACAATAACCCGTGATACAAGAAGTGCGCATTGTTTTCCCGCGGAATTTTCTTCTATTTTGATGTTCCATAGAGTTTCCCAGAAAGAAGGACTCGATCACAGCAACCACGATATGAGAACATTTATTCGTTTCATGACCAACCTCCAACGACGGAGATTGATTGGAAGATTCAGGTAAGAATATAAAATCCGCAGTTTAATTGTTTGAATTTATGTTGGGATTAACCAGAGAGCGATCAGGTACAATCTTAAAGAATTCTTTCACGAAGCAAGAGATTCCATATTGTGAACCACTCTGTGACCCATTTTGGTGTTGGAAAATGAAAAATCCATGGGCAATTCTCTTTGGCCGTGCGAATGTGCAGAATTTTCACTACACAAAATGATTCCATCAAATCCTTACACCCCGTAGTTTTATGGTGCAACAGTTATCCATACACTAATCCCATATAATAGAACAAGGAGTAACGAACAAACTCGTTTTCAGTGATTCGTAGTCATGTCAAATACATCACAAAAAATATTACGCTGTTTATGTATGATTCAGTATTCAACCATAAAAACGCAAACAAATATTTCGGGAAGGGAAAATAACCTCATGGGTTATCCGGGGCTAAGTTCATCTTGGGACCGTATATGGGATTCTCAATGATCACATAACTTTCATGAGAGCAAGAAGAAGCATCATGATCACAGGAGATGTTGAATTCAACTAATTCGTGGTAATCTCATTAGCTGTGTACATACATTCGTCAACTTGACGATAATAATCTCCGTTAAAACATAACTGTACATCTCTAGCACATAGAAGCAGTAATTTTCGGAGACTATGTGTGGGAATGTTGAGTTCGTCGGCATATGAACAATGTCCACAGATTACCACGAAATAATTGAATTCAACACATCCTGTGATCATGATGCTTCTTGCTCTCATGAAAATATTAAAGGGAACTGATTGCATGGGATCACATAATTATTAGGTCATCCGATCATTGGGACCACTCGGAATATGGCGTGTGTAGGGGGTGGGCCAGGGGAGCTTAAGCGCCTGCACATATTGTTTTTGGACACACAGAGCGGGGTAGTGCAGCCGAATTCCTACCGCTTCCACTGTGGCTTCCGAGTGGTCCCAACGATCGGATGACGTAAAAATTCGGTGATCATTGTGAATCCCATATACGGTCCCAAGATGAACTTAGCCCCGGATAACCCATGAGGTTATTTTCCCTTCCCGAAATATTTGTTTGCGTTTTTATGGTTGAATACTGAATCATACATAAACAGCGTAATATTTTTTGTGATGTATTTGACATGACTACGAATCACTGAAAACGAGTTTGTTCGTTACTCCTTGTTCTATTTGAAATGTGCTCTGTGGGACTGTGTAGACAATCCTTTATAAAGCAATAGTGTGTACGTGGCAACTAATTCATGTTTGAAATAGGTTTCCAGAACCAGCAGGATTTCAATAAATGTTTGAAGAGTTTCTGACCCACAAAAAATATGATCACAAAAAGGATTAACATCACTGAGATTTACTCAAAACAATGAAGAAAGTGCACCGAATGATTCTCGAATTTCTAATATCTTTGGACAAAATCCGCATAAGAACATGGTGCTTCATTTATTTGGCGACAGTGCTTGACAAGATTGGGTTGCATTTCTGTTAGAAATAATCTTGACTGTGGAGAAAATAACGATTCTAGAGCTTAGCACTGTTGCTACTTACTGGTTTCAGATCTTTATTTATTTGTGTTTAGTGAACTCAGAAGTATTTCTTAGGTCAACCGAAGCGCAGCTGTGTAATGAAGAGTAAAGTGTGAGGTTAGTCGGTAGTTGAGGATTTTCAACTTAGCCTGTGTGGTTATGTGATTCTAATCAAAACCGCTCAACCACAGTCAGGGAGAAAAGGTTTTGAACTTTTATTGTTGTGAAAGCATAAAACTGTATCACATAAACCCTTTCATTCAACCAAACTACTACCATGTGTATCTGAATTTTAAGGCTTTCCTAAGCAGGGTTGAGAAATAAAGTGTAGAAAAATTAGTAACTTCTAAAACACCAACTAGCTAAGTTTAGATTTTAATGCACACCACATCCTAGATGCAACGAATTGTGTTGTAGGTGACAGAAAAATAAATCCAAGCATCAGTTGAGGACTAAAGCTGTCAAACTGCAAAAGTGACAGATGAAAATAGTACGCTCATGGTTATTCACCAGTAAACATTCATCTTTTCTCTAAATGTTTTTGAATCACTCCGCTCTCACATGCAGAGCCACAAACATTTTTAAGAATCTATCAATACAGCAATCGAATGAAAAGCCAAGCACTAAAAGTCCTCAAATTATCTTAATTTTTAACAGAAATATGTGAAAATAACCAAATTTTCAACGTTCTGCATCTTTCAATGAAATTCACTCACCGAATTCTGTTTCAAAATGGGTTCACCATTCCCATATTACAACATGAGACTTACTATTTCGCGGTATGAATGCAATGGTGTGGCCTGAGGGCAGCCCCTAATTTGAACCCAATAGAAAAAAATGGAGCATTTTTACCCGAAAGAGACATTAATGGGTAAAGTCTTTAGGGATGCACTACTTTTATTGTGGTGAAAACTCTGTTATTTTCTTTAAAATCTAGATTAGTTTGATTAGGTTTCGTGTCTCAGCTTTTCATTTTATTACCGCCTAGATCAACAACAATGTTTAAGATTGTGTATGTGAGAGCGGAGATAATCCTGAAATTCACGGGAGGGTTGTAATACTTTTTTCGTCGATCGTAAATGTATGAAAAGTTGAATTTCCATGAGACGTGAAATAACAGTAATCGAGTTGATTTGGGCTGACCATCCATGAGGCTCTACCTTCACGTATAATCTTCAGATCAATTAACCAGTCCACTGATGACGTACTTTGCTGGCATTTCTTTCTAATTAGAGCTCATCAGTAGTGCATATTCTCTGTCCCGTCAGGTTTGCATGCTTTTTTACCACTGTGCCAACTGGCTTACAATGGAGCTTCACCGGATTGCCAGTTCATGGTTTTCCAAGCGTCGTCATAAACGATCGTCGGTTCATGATGTCATGTTCAAGACTATCATCCAAAATAATAAATTGAAAATAATCTATTGTGCCTGCTCAAATCATAGGGCAATATAATCAACTCTTATAGGTTGATTCATGGTAGAGATTGATACGGTAAACGTGAAATGAATATGAAAGAAAACCTTCTGAGAATGTCTGATGAAATTAACCCAGTCATTTGAACGAAATGTTACCCAATTACAAGTGCGGGCAGAACAAAATGTGTACAGCAATCTCTTTGACTAAAGCTTGTAAAAAAGCAGTGAGCAGTTTGTTCATTGCTATCAAGACCCATTCGTTATACATATTCCTGAAAGAAGGATGTGACACCTATGCCAACATCGACAGATTTCAGACAAAGCATGAATTGAGTAGATATCATTAGCTCAAGAGTGTGTAGAATATTTTACTTTAGTAATGAACCAACTTCCATATGCAAATTTTCGATCTAAAATATTAAAGGGAATTATTTTGTCATGTTCAAACCAAAAGGAATTGACAGTTTTGGATGAAACCGCTTTCAATGATGGTCACCTCTAAAGTTTCAGCTGGACGCAACGCAAATGATGATACAGGCAAAGGTTTTAAGCCAACAGAACTCACCTTGTTTACTTTTATCACGGGATCCACGAACTCAACGATCATGTGAATGAAGCACTCCGAATTATATAGTTCCCATTTTGTGTGGGAAGACCAACAAAAAGCACTGCGACTCTATTTCATCCCAGGGGGGTCTATTTATTCCTTACCGTAAATGGAACCCTGAAACTTCAGGTTGCACTTCATACGCAAAAATTCTATTTTATTGAAAATGTGATCAACTGCGAGGATTCGAAGAATTCCCGAGGAATGAGAAGTGCTTGCAGCACACAGGATCTGGTGATACTGGTGAAATCGCATGCACAATTTTCACGAAAGCTGAGTGCTTTTCTTCATTTGTCAATCGTACCATCCCATCTGTCTTTCTCGTGCAGCCACGTTCGAGCAGTCAACCGGAAGCCGTACACTGTTACCATTGCAATAAGAATGTGTACGCAGCCGAAAGAATAAATGCAATGAATCGAGTTTACCACAGGACATGCTTCCGATGCTATGTGTGTAAAAACGTCCTAAAGTAAGCTTTCCCTGTGTACCATAGTATCTGCCCATTGCCAAAACATGCACCAGCACAGATGTCTGAGTCTACACATCCTTGATCTTAAAATTCGTGGTTGAAAACTCTTAGGGTGTTTTCTTCTTTATGCACATGGAACGAGTCTTGAATTTAAAACAATAGTGCATCGACGATTGGAAAGGATAAATAAATATCTTTTTAATCAACGACAGATCTTTTGAGGAATTCTAGTCCAGTTATGCAAACAATATTTGAACTGCGCTTATTAGAATTCGATTTAAAATAGTACATGAAAAATGTACAAATTTGGTGGGCTATTACAATGTCATACATATATGGTTCACAATAACTTCAAAATCAGCATCCGATTCTGCATACAGACTCAAGGTAGTTTGTGACTATTCCTATCTTCGAGGTTTGCAATACCTTCAATACTTTTCATTAATTGTTAAACGAAATGTTTCAGGGAGTTCATGGAATGATAAACGTTACTTGGTTTTGCGTTAGCCTTGAATTGCTTTGGTCTTAACAAGAACGAAACAGCTGTCAAATAGCACACAATAAGATTATCATTTTTCATTTATAATAACCTTTCAGCATCGGTCGATATAGTGTCTATGATGGGAAACCGCTTTGCGAACCCCATCAGAGACGATTGGTCAATATGAGAAGTGAGTTTACTGCTTTTCATTGTTTCCCTTTGAATGCTGTTTTCCAAGTTTTCTGTTTTGTATTATGATTTGTATTCGTCTAAAATTCACTTTAATGTCCACCACTTTAAAAGTCCTCAATAATCGACCCTTCAGATGTATTATTTGAATTATAAAATATAAGAATATGAGCTGGTTTCTGCTTCCACCATTGAAAATGAATGAATATTTTGTTGGTATGTTGTCGAGGCTTATGCATTCACGAATACAAGAATCGAAGTCTAGCCACTCATTGAACGCAATGTGTGATCTTATTTTCGGAAAACCTCGGATATGAGGTTTTGTTTTTGCCAGCTCCTTGGTTTTCTCTCAAATCAATGTGATTGATCCATCCCTCGAGCCCATTTTCCGGTCTATACATGATATCGGGACAGTGGATGCGTTATCCACATCCATATGAAATCAGTTACCGTGAATTTAAAATCCCACGCTAGAATAAATACAGTTTATTGTACGAAACGGCCAACTTATCAACCGAGTCGAATTTGTGCGCACTGATAAGTTTGGTTCAAAGAGGAATTTCACATGTCAACAAGAAGAGAAATTAGTTCGACATTCAGGAGGCTTCGTTCTGGTTTTCTAATTTCGACTAAACAAATATATTCAATGTAGTAGTTACTCACTGAGAATCCACCTAATGTTTCGTATTTGGTTTTGTCGAAACACCAATATTGACGTACATGGAAATGATGCAGAATTGAGATACTTCATAAAACTACACCAAAACATGTATGCTCTTTGTTGTTCCTCCTTCATCGTTCTGACTTCAACGAAAGCTGCAGTTTGTTGAGAGTTGGAAAAGTTATTTTTCCCAATCAATGATGTGTGTAACACATATTCATGCGCATGATACATTCGAGACCAAATTAAACAAATCAGACAAGAGCATAAGTATTGAATCCCCCGAGCACACCCGCTTGAGCAGTGAAAGTTTGTTTTCAGATGTGAAGATGCTAATCTGAAGGGCTTTATTAGGCAATAGGGATATGTGATTGTCTGGTCTGTGATGAGCATAATATTGTTGTGCAATTTTTAACCTAGTTTTTTGTCTACCATCTTTGAATTGCAAAAGGCAGCAGCTCCCACAATCTACCAGAAGATTTTCTTGAGCAAGAATTTGGCAGGCCTTCCCATGAGGCGCATATCGAGGTGGAATCAGTAAGTAGCTGATTACAATTAACCGCCGATTTTGAGTCAAAATATAAATAATAGTTAAATACTAATAATTGGTAATCAACATTTTCATTTTATATTGATAGGAGCTAGTCCTTTTACAAAATCGGACATTCAAACATTTACAAAGCCTAATCACTGTTCGCATGTGAAATGAACCCTTTATTTTAATTTACAACCGCATTCTTTGCTACGCTTAATAAGCAGAAAAACGAGTGAACATAAAGTTCAATAAGTATCACTGCATTTTGAGACTTATATCCAATGCTAAAGAAGGCACACTCATGGAGTAATATATCAAAATGAAACAACGTATTACAATACCAAGTATGCAATCAACAGTTTCGATAGTTGCTTGTGATATCATACAAGTTGATTGATGCCAAAATCATTCATTGGAGAGCAATTAATCAATTTGTACAATATAACATGTATAATACTGAGATATGTAAACTCGGATCCAAAATATGATTACCTAAAAAGATAATAACAGTATGTAAAGGAATTCTACAAGTGAATTTTTAATTGGGTATAAATATTTATGAAACTGTCTATATCTGATATAAAACCATGAGTAACACTGTATTTTGCTACTTACAATGTGCTAGTAGTACTTTGATAAATTCGATAACAAAAGGAATGTTGAGGTAGCCTAAATGATGCTTGAAGTGTTTACGGATTTTAAGACATCTGTTTTTATTGATGTGTAATGTAGTACGAAAGACTTTTCGTTTCAAACCCATGTTGAGCAATACTGTGTGATACATCATGAAAATGAGTAGAAAGTGTCCATGGGTGTATCCGAATCCCAGCAAGACTGTTTACATTGTTCAAATACAAAAAAATGTTTTGTGTTTTGACCAATTTTTCTCTAACCGTAAAAACTACTCTTTAATAGAGAAGCCACACGAGAAAGCCTTCGGCTGTGTCACAACGAGATACTGTAATATTTTCGTCATTTGGCATCAACATTTAAGTGTTCCATTAAAATTGGTAGTCTTGGTAGATAGTGAAAAGTCACCTGGTATATTCATCGTCCAATGGTGAATAAAATCTCATTGACTCTAAACACACATTTCCTCTGTCCTTAGAAATAATTCAACCTAAAGAAGATTCGTTGTAAAAAGTGAAAAACTAATATTTATTGACATTCTTCTCCTTACGGTTGAACATTCCGTCATTTAGACAATACTGTGTAGACAATACTGTGGAAAAAATAGCAGAAAATGAAGTTTTTAGATGATCTCACTGGTGATAGTATGGTTGACTGGAGGAACTCAGAATTAGCTGTAAAGTAATGAGAATTCGAAATCTAACCTAAATTTTGATTTTGACAAGATAATCCGAACTTTTAAGGACGATTTCTTTGGGTGGAGTTTTTCGATGGAAGTTATTGGATACTGAATTTCTTATTCATCGCTCGCCGAAAATGAACTGAATCGATCTCCTAGAAAGGACCGTCAGACGAATCATCAATTAATAACCCCGGATTGAGGTGTTTGGCACAATGGCAATACAATCGCCCTCAGCTTGACGGAACCATAGTTCTAAGCCTGGACGGTAGAAGGAACGCGCATTTCTGACTAGCTCTAATGTGAGAGCAACTCGAGTCAATTTTTTCTCGAGTTGACTGATTAATTTGAGGAACTGGGATTGTGACTGAAGGTGATGTCAATCCAGATCAGTTTTGGGAAATATTGTGCATATAAAAAACAAATATTACATAAAACATGTTTATAATGAATACTATTATAGAACAGGCAGTAATTCTGCAAACCTTTCATGAGAGCATGAAATAGTCATGAAGAAATATCTAAAAGTTGCATTAAACTGTTGTAAAATATATATTTATTGCTGATTACTGGCCAGAATAACCCAAAACCGTTAGAAAATCAAAGGAAATGAAAACTGTCGCATGAAATTTGTATTATATAACGATGAAAAGATAAAAAATCAAACTTTCAACCGAAACACACGTTCTTTCACCCTAGTGCCAAAATGCATTGAAGCAGTTGCTTTGTTCAAATTCTATGAAACAATGGCCCTTTTGTAAAGCAGTGTCATGGTGTGTGCTAAGACTATGCTTGAATTGAAATCCGTTTAGTGTCGATGTTTGATTGCACCAATTAAGACTGAAATTACTTCATTGACCCGGACAGTTTTAATAAGTAAAGAGGAGTTCACTATAATAATGGGGAAGTGTAAATGTTTTTTCTTTCGAATAAAATGATGGTTTCATGGAATTCACCATACAGTGATCAGTGGTCCCATCATTCTGAGGATGGAGTTGTGAAAAGGCACAGGGTCCGCTGTTTAAATTTCGATGAGTGAAACTGGTGATCAAACTAAGGGCTACCGTTTGAACCCACTTGCAATCAACTTTAATAAAAATTGGTTGCTGCTCCAAAGCTGAGTTTTTGTTTCGAACTGCATGTATCACGCATAGGATAACTCCGGGTATAGTGTTTCAATAAGGGTTGTTTCAAAGCTAATGAACTGATCTAGGATCACTCTGCGAACAGGTCTATCATACGGCTTGCTAGAGGTAAGTTCTGCTGTTGGGGATACAAATAAGTTGAAAAGGGATTATTCATGAATGTACTGTCAAATGTACTCGTAACTCTGGTATGATTAGATTGTGATTATACAAAAGCTGATGTCATTCTGGTATATTACTGACGATGTCTGGTGTAATAGGTCAATAAAAGGATTGGATAGAATTATTTACGAACGACAACACACATCTTTATCATGAAAGAATTTCTGAGTCAAATCATATCTCACTACTTTTGCACTTTGTAGACAGTAGACGTAACACGCGCAAATACGCTTCAGAGCTCAGCGGCGAGAACCGTGGATGATATTGCACATATTCCCTATTGAATTGAATGGTTTAAATGACCACCGAACGTTGAGTTACACCCTCAGTGGTTATCATACCAGGAAACAACGTTTACTTTTTTTCGAAGGTGCACAAAATAAGGGTTCAATCAACAAAAACCGCACTATTTTTCTGCTGTTTTTCAATACCGAGTGTGATTCGTGAATTGATTGATGATTCTGTCAATGTAAATGGCACAGACGCATACACACAGACACACATAACAGATGCGTTTATACCAGAAAAACCTCACTCAGTAGAATAGATAAAGATCCTACTGTGCAATTGCTCACAGATCGGTCTTCCGTCTTTCAACTAACCAAGCGAACACTTTAAAGTGTCCCGGTTATTAGCCATCCAAATGAGAATGTTCAGCACAATCAGGATGTGAAACTGCGTCCGCACATTCAACGAGCATTCAGTCGGTTGTTGATAATAGCACAGACTCTGTCAGACAAAATTACTACTGTGCACAAGGCGAACCAACTGTGCTCGATTCAATGTACGCGAGAATTTGGTGACAAGAAGAATAAGCGAGCCAGAAAGGGGGAGGTGTGGGCTGCATTCCACAAAGCAAACGAAACACGTTGCCGCACAATTGGTCAGTTATTACAAATTAACCAATGCGAGCAAAGCTGTGCTGGCAGCCAATGCGGTTTAACTGGTAGATCCTGTAGTGCGTCAAAAGCGAGTATCACAATAATATTCTTTACTCTGTTCGAAGTTCGGACGTAACGGGACTC